ATCTGCAGCAAATAAAAATAAATGTTCATCAGTATTCTTTCTAGTATATTGCCATGTTTAGAAAACAGAAAAATATTATAATGGCTTTTATCTGTATTTTTTCAATCCCTCTCCTCTTTTTCCCCCTTGCAGAGTAGGAATTATAAAATTTCTCTGTGAATTTGCAGACTGGGAAGATTTTTCAGAAACATCTATATCTTTTCTCTGAGCATTGCTGAATTAATACTGACACATTCTTCTTGGCTTCTCCATTGCCTAAGAAATGTTATAATAGTAGGGTGCTAAGAAGTCCTAGAGGGTAAAAACTTCCTATACTTTTATTTATTTTCCTAATTACTTGCATATTTAAAAATAATATATACTACCGTTGATATGTCAATTTTAGTCATTTATCAAATCATTTCTTGATTTTTGGTAGTTGAGGCCCTAGCTCTCCTATATGCTTTCTCTCCACACTTCACTTCTCCATTCTCCATGTACATTGTCAAGAGTTTTGTGAAAATAAGTGAGCGTTACACTGTTAGGACTAAATAAATATTCACAAGTAATAGACTGTGATTACATTTCCTCACAAATTTGTTTTCTAGAGCTAATTCTACCTGTTTTAAAACAATCTGCTTTGTTTCCTGTTAATTTCTTGGTATCCCCCCCCCCCCACCACCACCACTTACTCAAAATGCCTCAGGTATATAAAATAACCTATTACTTTCCCCTCCTCCTGTCTTTTCCCAGAGACCTTCCTCCAGAGTTCCCTGGACTCTGTTCCTTCTGGAACGGCTGCTGGGCCACTGTCATCTGTGGTCTTGCCTTAGCTTTTTTCCTAGTTAGACCTGCTTCCGAGCATCTCATTCTTTTTCTTTCTTGCTGTATGCTCTCATTTTACTGAAGCACAACTTCCTATGAAAGGAGTATGTGGAGAGTAAATTGTTGAGGCCCTGCATGTGTGAAAATGTCTTTCTTATGTAGCTCTCATACTTGGTTAACACTCTGGCTGTGTATGGAATTTGAGGTTGAAAGTCATTTTCCTTAGAATTTTGAAGGCATTGCTCAGCTGTCCTCTGGTATCTGCTGTTGCTATTGAGATGTCTAATTCCATTTAGATTTTCATTCCTTAAATGACTATATAATTTATTGTCAAAACTGGGACACTTGAGGTGCCTGCCTTGAAAGAATACTAAGATAGCAGCATAAACCTGGACTCTCTGGGGTAAACTGGGACATGTGGTCACCCTCTTTAATATGTGACCTGTTTTTCTCTAGCCATTTAGGATCTTCTCTTCACTTCATGTGTTCCACATTTCACGATGATGTGTCTTGGGAAAATCTTTTTTCATTCACTGCACTAGATCTTTGTAGGTTCATTCCTGTCCTTCAATTTTGGGAAATTTTCATTATTTCTTAAATAATGTTCTCCCAGCCTTTGTTAGTCAGATATTTGACATTCTGGATTGTCTTCCAGATTTTTTTTCCTCACAAAAAAGCAAGGGGATATTATCTTTTCACCTCTTGGTTTTGTATCTGAAAGATTTTTGTATATTTATCTTCCAGTCATTCTGTTGAAATTGAATTTTTTCTGTTTGTATTTAATTTCTTGTTTTACTTTATTCCTCAGCATCCTGTCCTTATGGAATTGTATTTTTCCCCTTCCTCCTTTCTTCTCCTCCACCCCCACCCCACACCATTGCTTTCTTGAGTCCCTTTTCTTTTTTTCTGTTTGTTTTGGTCTATGTCTGAGGCTCTCTTCAGATGCTGATGATCCTTAACTGTCTCTTCATATTTAAGAGGAAGATGCCTAGGGTATGGGAAGGAAGCCGAAGGGCCCGGAGAGGAGCACAGTGCCTTTCCCTTATGCCTCATCCCAGGCTTCCGTACCTTCTATTTCTCTGTCTGGAGCTTCTGTGGCTCAATTTTTCCAGAGAATAAAACTTCCTTAATGTCGTCTTTCTCCTCCTCTTACCCCCTTCCAGTGAGAGGAAGTGGTGAGGGGGTAAATGGAGAGGGCCCAGTAGTTCTGTCCCCTCCCCTTCCCCACCTTTCATGGTTACTGCCACTCCAAGAGCTGGCCCTCCCTAGGCTTCTGTCAGCCTAATTAGCTCCACCCCCACCTTATTCCGTCTGGGTGCTTGAGTGATAACTTCCTTTTACTCCTCCATCTCCTGACTGTCTTTGAAAAATTTATGAAAATCTGCTCTCATTAGCTCTCCCTTTCTCTTCTTTCTTGTGGGTTAATACATTTATTTTATTCCTCTACTGTCTTTTAGAGGCTTGAGAAGGGAGAAGAAATAAACTAATGTGTTCAATCTGCCATTTTTAACTGATTCTGGCATACATTTTTCTAGGGAAAGTATTATAAATGCTGATTAGATGCTGCATAATACTAGCAATGCTATTCCTCATGTATGTTGTTATGGATTAAATGGGCTTCTGTGGGCTGACCTGGAAACCTAACTCTATGATTTTCCCCTAGAACTCGAGAAACAATCCAGCTTTTCTGAGTTGACTCTCTGGAGGAATTATAACAGGCCAGAACAAAAATATTTCACACATCGCTCCATTTCCCAAGTCACATAGAAAATTACAAATATTGTGTCATCATTGTCAAAATTAAAAGCTCCAATAACTGTAACCAAAACCTGAATTTTAATGGAAAAGTTTGCTCATAAAGTTCAGCTTATAAAAATTGAACTGAGAAGCAAAATTGAATTCTTCAGCAATATCCCTAAAGCTTCATTTTTCCCCCTGCATCTTTTCTGAAAGCAGTTTTCCTAATTAAATTCAAACCCAGTGCAAAATAGTAATACCCATGGGAATAGTTTACTTGTATTTTCTTGCTACTTTTTTTTTTTATTACTACCGTACACACAACAGGATCTTTTGAAATATTGGATTGAATAAGCAAGACAGCCATATAGACCAAGAAAGCCATCTTCCTAATCACGAATGACTAAAAATAGCCACATAATTAAATGCAAACCAGCCTATGTAAAGTACCCAAAGTGCTGGAAAGTAAACTTGCACCATCCTGGTGTTTGGATTGCAGAGGCCACTGCAAGTGTAATGGATCCACTGCAGTTGTGCGGCTCCTGTTTTCAGCCTCTGGGAAGGACATATGGGGCTTTCTTCCAGAGGATCACCCCTTTTGTGCTGGGGCAGCCTTCCATGAGCACTTGCTCCCAGTGGCCATGACAGCCCCAGTCTCAAGGGATCAGAGCTGATTAGGCAAACCAGGAACAGTTGTAATTTCTTATGTGGCTGCAACAAGGTAAGGGCAGTGAGATGCGGTCATTCCATTATATTTTATTTCTCTTCTTTTCCTTCTTTATTTAAAAATATTTACTTTTATTTTTTTTTTATTACTAATCTCTCTCTCTTCTCTCTCCCAACCTTGCTTTTGACAACATATTGACTAGGGACCAGAAGCCCATTTTTGCTTAGCCTTAAGGGCAGCTGTTTACAGAGTAGCAGTGTTACAGAGGTTTACTATGTCGTATGTCTGTGTAACACTGGATTTGGATCTTGTATTTAGCTGCCAGAAGTGACTGTGATGAAGTAGGAGAGATAAACTGATAGATTGGCTGCCAGAAAGGTGTTGGGAATCAATCAAATAAACAGGGTAGAGAAATAGCTTGCTGTTTTCTAGTGATAATAAACCAGTGGCCTCTGGTCCCCGCATTTTAAACGTAATTGCTATAGTATTAGTGTTTAAAATAAGCAAATGAAAAAAAACATCACAGGCAGTTCTTTAATTGCAATTGAGGTACCTTTTCCCTTTTGGAAATTAATATTTTAATAAATTTGTTTTATTTCTTCCAGTGCCTACTTATACAAATGAAATTGAGAGCACGAACTACTTTCATAGGAATTTATTCCCCCTCCTCTATTCTCCCACAGACTTGAGTTATTTAACTTGGTGAAATATCTATATTGCTGCCATGTCTCTATGAAGCAATTACTTATTATTGTGAAGAAACAAGTTTTATAGTCAAACCAGTATTATCGACAGATGATTAGCAGGAACTAGCTTATTTTGGTGTCTCCCCTTAGATTTTTCATAGAAAATTTTTAGAATTTTAATCTCTGTTCCTATTCCCCTGCATACTTATAGCACTTGTATAGGAGAGATGATATGCAGTTTTATTTTTGTAATTTAAAATTCTCCTCCTTTAATGTTTACTTTTTAAATCCATTACTTCTCTTTACCTAGGACCTTAAGACGCAGTGCAAATGGTCAGGTCTGTGTAAAAGATAAAGATGTAGACTCTGATTGCATGCAGTGGACTACCCAGGATTAAGAGGAGAGTAGAAGAGGAGGATAGAGTTCCTATGAAGTTAATTGTATAGGATGAGAGACCAGTTTGTATTTGAAATGTGCACGTATGTCTTTCTGTAGGTTCCCTCTTAAAATTATTGTGGCTGTGAATGTGTCTGTGTCATATATGGTTAAATCACTTAATAGTTAGCAAGGTAGAGTACTAGCTATGGAAAACAAGAGAATGAAGTCCACACCTTTAATTATATAAAATAAAGGCTTTTGCCTGAGGAAGACCTTCCTGACTGCTGGAGATTATAGGTCAGAAGTTAACTATCTACCATGATCCTATTGGTGAGAAGCTGATGCATCTTCCTTTTTGCCACATAGCCCTTCCCACCTGACCTTTTAAAGATTCTCCATTGATATCGATGAGGTGGACAAAACTAATCATAAAAACAATGAAGGGGATGTTGCAGATTCATTGATCCATTTGGAATGAACTGCAGTATAATAAGTCTTCCAAATGGACTTCTCTGTTCTCAGCTATTGCTCTAGCCACCTTTTTAAGGATATATAAATATGGAATGGGTTAATGGGAATTCAGTCATGCTCTTGCCATTGGGTTGTCCCTTATTGATTGTAGTTTTAGAGATGTTACTGTGCCATTCAAAACTCCTGCTGTGCCCTTTTAAAGTTAGTTGGTGCTGGGAGATAATAAATAAACCAGTTGCTTTATTTTTTCCCCTAGCTCCTTCGAGAACTCATAGAACGAAAGACCAGCTCGTTGGATCCCAATGATCAGGTGGCCATGGGAAGGTAATTTAGATATGGCTTTCTATTTATGCAAGCAGCCTACATAATATTTCTCTCTTTGATTTCCTTTAATTCTGCCTCCAAGGTAATGATTGGCCCTATGATTATAAAAGTTGAGTAAGATTATAAGAGCTAGAAAGACAAACTGATGGAAACCCTAATTCTTTACCTTACATTCCCTTACGTGTAGTTTGTATAAGAGGTTATAAATATGTATTCGTTCTAGGCTTGTTTTTCAAAATCCTTCTTATGCTCCATGCTCTCTTACTTAGATTGTGACTGTATCTGTACCAATCTCTGACCAGTGGATAAAAAGAAACCCCAAATGTGTGCTCTCAGCTGTCAGATGTGGCACTGTGTACAACAGGTTCCTTGCTGGTAGTTGAATCTGCTTTGTTAGAGTCTGCCCTAATTTAGACCTCCACCCCTCAATAAAAGCTTCAGCACAATTAGAAATGGAACGTGGCAGCATTACCCAGATGTCAGGGGAAAATGCAAAGTAGTGAAGGAAGGCTCTTGTGTGTATGCTTCATCCTGTGGTTGGAAAATAAAAAGGGCATTTAGAGTGCTACCTAATGAATAGTGTACATTTAAATAGCCATGAGCCATAATTTGCAAAAGCCTGAAAGGAAACAAAAGCTGCAAGTGCCAGAGTAGATTCTGTGCAGAGAAACATTTGGAGAATGCAAAGAAAATTTTGTGTTGATGAAATAATTTTGAGTAAAACATTATTTGAATTTTAGGATAGGATGTTGTTGGTATTTTGTGTTTCCCTGGAATGTTATAGAGAGCTGTTCACTATAAATTTAATGTGATAGCATAAATTGTATTTAAGTGGTGATTATATTGTACATTTATCTCACTTTACAATAAAATAGATTATGGTAATTAAGATTATATTAAGATTACAGTAATTGGATTTCCCTAGATTCCTCCCCCCCCCATTGAATTTTCATTGTATAAATCAGGTAAGATGACGAGCTGCTACCCTTGGTTTTTCCCCATTTGTTCATATGAGCAATTTATGAAGATTTTTTTTTTTTTTTAGCCCAGTATCTTTTATTTGAAAAATTAATTCCTTTTAATAAAAAAAATGATTGTAGAAAATGTAAATCTTGTTTGGATCCTGATTCAAACAAACTGCAAAATTGAGACAATCTGGAAAATTCAAAGACTGACTGAATATTTGATAGTAATAAATTATTGTTAACTTTTTTTTAGGTGTGACAGTGATATTGAGCTTATACTGAGTGGAGGGGAGGAGAGCCCTTACCTTTTAGCAACACATTCTGAAATATCACAAATTAAATAAAAAATAGTAAAGTTATTGTAAAACTGGTATCAGTAGTGGATAATTATTTTTTAAAATTAGCAAAAATTGGAAAGCACAAGAAAAAACAGTTGGGTATTAACAAAGGCAAAATTAGATTTAAAGAATTCATGTGTTTAAACCACACCAGGATTTGCAATATTAGTAATAGAACTTGCTGCACAGCTAAAACATTAAAAGCAAACCCAAGCAGCTGTACTCAATTTGATAGGTTTTTCTACAGACTGGTAGGTTTATTTAGTGCTTGTCACAGCAGTTCCAAATACTAAGGAGCATTGTTAACCAAATTTGCTGTAGAATTTCCCAGCTGCCGTTTGTTTTTTTACTATTGCACAAATCCTCTTCAATTGATTAGTCACTTTGGCCCCAGACTATCTTGAGGAACTTAATTTAGGTTTATGATTTCTTTCTGCAGGGTTGTTAGTGGGAAAAATTCCAATTTGTCAATACGTATAACTATTTCTGTTAGTGATGATGCATAACATTGCTTGTGAATTTCCCAGGCAGTGGCTTGCAATCCAGAAGTTACGAAGCAAAATCCACAAGAAAGTAGATAGGAAAGCCAGCAAAGGACGGAAACTTCGGTGAGTTACTTTTCAGAAAAAATTTGAACCTATTATGTTAATATCTCTCTTTTGCATTTTTGCCTGTTATGTCATTTTACTATTTCTTCTGGTGATTCTGTTTTTAAGGATCAGGAAAATAACTGAAATATTTGAAATTTTTTTCTGACCCAATTTCCTTACTCTAAAATGGAAATAATGGTCTTATGGGTTTGGGTTTTTTTTCCTACTTTTGTAAATGGATAGGTCATGTAATATCTGCATTTCTCTGAAGGAGAAATAAGTAAACAAGGCAAGATAGTTGAAATGTCTTAGTTTTAAAAGGTGATTTCTGTAGAATGCTATAAAACTTTCAGTTTTGGAGTCTTATTTAGAATACGATTATATTGGTTCATTTCATGATGCTATACATGTACACACTATGCTAAAAAGTTATAATTAAAGATTCCAGAGAATGTTAACAATGTGCTTAAATGAGATAAGAAATATAATTTTTATAAGAAAGCCAAGAAATTTCTGACTATAGGAAAACTCTCAACCCTGTGATTTCTTTAAGATGTGTTACAAATATGCAGAGGGGGAAAAAGGAAAGAGAACAGGGGTGTTTTAAATTTATGCTTTTAGATTTAGATTCCTTGTAACTATATGTATTACATTATATCATTCACACAAAGCTTCTGTGACAAAGAAACTACTTGTAATTCAGGTGCATGTTGAAAAAAATTCTTAAACTCATTGTGTTAGGACAGTTTTAAGCAGGTGGCTAATCCCACATCCTTATTAGAGCCTGCCTGTCATTAAATTCCCTTTGGACAAATGTGGATCTATCTCATTTTTAAATACCTTCAGAGAAGCAGATTTTACAACTACTTTAATGAACCTTTTCAAGTGTTTAACAGAACTTCTCAGGAAATGCTTATTTTTCGATAACTTTGCAGAAATTACCTTTTTTCACGTGTTGAAGTTTCCAAATCTTCCTAGCTCCCCAGGTTTGTTTTTAGAGTAGTGGTTAAGAGTATGTACTCGAGAGCCAAACTGCCAGAATTTAAATCCCAGCTTTAACATTGACTAGTAGTTACTTTGGGCAAAACGGTTAAACTCTCTGTGCTAGTGCCTTCATCTGTAAAATGGGGGTGATAGTAGTACTGGATTGTAGGATTGTTGTGAGGATTAAGAGAGTAAGTATATGTGTTACTCTTAGAACAGTGCCAGGTACATAGTATAAATATTTGTTGCCATTATTACCATCACTATTATTATTATTACACCAAGACTGGGCCTGTCTCCTAATCTAGTGTTCATTTACTTGCTGGTTCACATGCATGCCTCTATTATACATGTTTCTTCTATACATGCCACCTCTGTACGGACTTGAAAAAGAAAGTTACTAATAGTACTTTATAATTGGCCAAGCTTATTCTTTAATTTTGAGATCAGATTTTTACCCAGTATTGTGCTTTAAAAATTATATAGCTGTATGAGGCAATAAATGTTTTCTAGAGGGAAGAGCCCAAGATTTCAAATTAGAAAACTTGGGTTCAAATCCTGGCTCTGTCTGGCTATATAATTTTGCTTATTTATTCTCTGGGCCTCACTTTCTCACTTATTAAGTGGAGATAATAATCCCTACTTTAAAGATTTGGTTTGACATTACTTTGGCTGTAAGCCTTCCCCCAACTCCATCAGTTATTCCCTTATTCTCCTCTCTGTTGTCTCATAATATCTTATACCATGTATTAAATGCCTGGTTTGTGGGTGGATCTGTTTTCCCCATTGCATCATGAGCTTAAATATAAAGGCCATGTCCAAATTAGTTAAAAAATTTTAGGTTGCAAATAAAGCAAACCTATTTAAACTAAGCAAAAAACAACAACAATATTTGGTTTGAGGATTAAAATAATGTACAAATGCCTGGTACCTAGTAAGCATTTGAAAGTGTTGGTTTATTTTGTTTCTCTTGTGTGTATTTTTTGGCATTCCTGTTGCAAATATATGCTCTTCAAAAGAATTAAGAGAGGAAAATAATGCCTTTTCTACATATTTTACTGTTACAAATTTTAAAACTATTGGTACAAGTAGCTATAGGTGTGTGCCTCTTGAGAGCAAGAACTATGCTGCTTTATTCTTTAAGACAGTTCCATCCTTATTATCTGCTGTAGTCCCTTATAGACATTAGTCAGCTAGAAAATGTTTTTGGATGATTATGACAATAAAATGAACATGCTCATCAGGTAATGAGAAATGGCAGTGAGTTTAAACATAATACAGATTAAGAAACCTGGATGAGTGTTGGAGAAGTGAGCATGGCAAACACCTCAGGAGAACTGCAGGTCTGTTTTCCAAATCAGAATGAATTTATCACCCTAGGTGGTTTGGCCTGCAGACTGAAGGATCCTAGGTTCAATTCCAGCCAAGGGCACATGCCCGGGTTGCGGGATCAGTCCCACGTGGGGGGCGTACAGGAGGCAGCCAATCGATGATTCTGTCTCATCATTGATGTTTCTGTCTCTCTCTACCTCTCCCTTCTTCTCTGAAATCAATTAAAAAAAAAGAAATATATTTAAAAAAATGAATTTATCAGAGTTGTTATTTATTACGTTAAAATTTTAGAAAAAGGATTTTGTTTTAATAGCAACTGCTTTTCTTATATTTATTAAACCTCATTAAACTGTTCTTCAGAGGTACATGTTACTAATATATTTCTGTGTTTTTAGCATTTTGCTGATTAAAATTATAAATCCAGAGGCATTTGACATCTTATTCTGACAACAGGCAAGCAGGAGATAGACATTCTGCTTGAAGAGGACTAAACATAAACAGATAAAAAGGTTTTTTTTTAAAAAAAGATAAGGGTTTCTTCTGAAGTTCTAGGAGCAATGTTAGGAGCTGGGGAATACACATTCTACCCTCAAGGGGCATGTAGTCTGGAGACATGGCAGACAATTAGCCAATAAGTGATGCTGTGTGGAAAGTGCTATGGTAGAGATCATCCTGGTACAGGATTCCCTGACTCACTCTGGGGGAACTCAGACTCCTTAAGGAGACTTTCTGTAAGGTGCAGCATCCACACTTTACACTGAGCAGTCTAGGAACAGTTAGCCAGTGAAAGGCCAAAAAGAATAACGTTTGCAAAAATGTGTCAAGAAAGTATACATGGCCATTTGGGGAATTGCAATTAATTTGGGGAGAGACATAAAGTGAATGTGGAGTAGGACATGAAGCTGTATGAGTAGTGAGTGCTAGATCATAGCCAGTTGAAGAAACTTGGACTTGACTCTGTAGGCTGTAGTGCGTCATTTAGGACTTTAGACAGAGGGATGTTATTACATTTCAGTTGCATTTTAGAAAGATGGAAGGAGATAAAGAAAAGTGAGAACGTTAAGAGTTGACTCTCACGAGTTTTCAGAAGGAAGCTACAAGAAGAAAATGATTTTTGTCTTTGAAGGAGGGAGTAGATTCAGTTTTTTAATGTGCTGAATTTAACACAACCTTGAGAAATCCAGGTGCAATGTGGGGTCCTAGCTTGGACCCTAGAAAAGAGAAAGGACATTGGAGTAAACACTGGTGAAATTTGAATAAGGTGTATAATTTAGTTGGTAGTATTAAAACAGTGTTAATTTCCTGATTTTGACAATTATACTATGTTTAGGTGAATTATTAACATTACAGGAAGTTGGGTGAAATTAAACATGAATCTCTACTATGTGTTTGCAGCTTTTCTATAAGTCTGAAATTGTTGTAAAAAGGAAAGTAATGAATGTGGTCATGTGTTTTGGTTTTTCAGTTTTGTCATCTGTATTCACCTGGTTCTCTACCATAAATATGAGGGATGTGATCAGAATCAGAGAATGATCTTTATTAATAGCAATAGTGATAACTAACATTTATGAAACTCACTGTTGAGCCCTGCAGAGATAGAAAAAGCACAGGCAGTGATGCTAAACTGTCTAGGTTTTAAATCTGACTCTCCCACTGACTGCCCTAGAGACCTGGGGCACTTAACTTTATATCTCTGAGCTGCAATTTCCTCTTTGAGGAATAAAGTAAAAGTCACATCTTATAGGTTGTTGTGTAGCTTAAATTAGCTAATTCATGTAAAGTGGTCAAAGAAAACAACTTACCCAGCATTACAGAGCTAGTTCGTATCAAACAGGAATTTGAGCTAATTGGTCTGATTCCAGAGTCCATGCATATAACCTCTGGATGTTGAATTGTTTCTCTGGCAGGACCAAGTGGCCATAGCAGGTGCCAGAATGACAGTTGGGCTACATTAGCATTCTGCCCTGAAAGATTAAACCAAGTGGTCCACGCTAGATGAGAATATTATGAATACTTCCTTAAATTAAGGTTCTATCATTGAGCAAGCTTTACGCTTTGTGATATGGTTGGAAAGATAAGATTTCCAGAAATGTCGTAACAACAATGAACATTACATTGTGGAAATATTAGTTGAAATGATAGCAGGTCAGTGGCATCAGCCTGATCAGACTGGGCATGGCACCTTCCTGGTTGAATACTGGAAAATAATTAAAAAAAAAAAAAAAAAAGAATATTTTGGCCTGACTGGTTGAACATTGTCCTGTGCACCAAAAGGGTACATATTTGATTCCCAGTCAGGGCACATTTCTGGGTTGAGGGTTTGATCCCTGGTTGGGGAGCATATGGAAGGCAAACAGTGTTTCTCTCACACTGATGTCTCTCTCTCCTCTCCCCTTCCTCTCTCTAAGCATCTCCTTGGTGAGGATTAAAAAAAAAGAAAAAAGAATATTTTGATTTTTAGAAATAATTATAACTATTGATTATCAGTATTTTACACAGCAGTATATATAAGTGGATTTTACTGATTTAATCAGGATATGTAATGTTAAATGAATTAAATTTTCAGGTCTTTAATAATGAGATGTCTACTGTGTTTGTCTCTATTCTTCTGCACAAAATTACATTTATCTTTTCTTAGTATGGTTGGTAAAAGGTGTTTTAATTCTAAAACATGCATTCATCCTCAGCAGTACTAAGATTAGATGAAATACATTGCTTTAAGCACACATTACTAAATGTCTTTAATCTGATTACTTCTGTAAGCTTGTCTTTCATCATGCAGTTAATAGTTACTATATTGTATTACAGTGTAAAAGTATTCCACACAGCAGTGCCATCCAATAAAAATATGTATTAGAGTCCTAGCCAGTTTGGCTCAGTGGATATAGAATGTCAGCCTATGGACTGAAGGGCTCTGGTTCAATTCCAATCTAGGGCATGTACTTCGGTTGCAAACTCCTCACTGGCCTGCACCCTGGTGAGGGAAGAGGTGTGCAGAAGGCAACCAATCAATGTATTTCTTTCACATCGATATTTCTGTCTTTCACTCTCTCAAGAAATCAATAGAAAAATACCTCGGTCCGAAACCAGTTTGGCTTAGTGGATAGAGCATCGGCCTGCAGACTGAAGGGTCCTGGGTTCGATTCCAGTCAAGGGCATGAACCTTGGTTGCAGACACATCCCCAGAAGGGGGTTTGCAGGAGGCAGCTGAACAATGTCTCTCTCTCTCATCGATGTTTCTGACTCTCTATCCTTCTCTCTTCCTCTCTGTAAAAAATCAATAAAATATATTTTAAAAAACATAGAATAAATTGTATAGCTATCTGAATAATGTTTAAGGGAGTAATGTTTAGCATATTGCTAAGGACACAGTGTATCTACTTTCTGGGGGCTGAGATATAAATGGATCTGTGTTGAACTGTCATTTACAATGTGCTGTTACCACACACATTTTCTCTTTGTAGCATTGAGGAGAAAGGGTTCTGTAGTTGTGTTACATGCCTGTCTGTGTTTTCTACTCAACTCTGCAGCCAAATGGTCTGGGGTTTGTTAGCTCAAAGGATGTGCTTCCTTTTCTAGTTTAATAGTTACTAATGTTGCTGCCTGTTTCCTGCTTTTTTTTAGGTTTCATGTCCTTAGCAAGCTTCTGAGCTTCATGGCACCTATTGACCATACCACAATGAATGATGATGCCAGGTGAGTAATAGATTAATTATGTGTCTCAAATGGCTTCATGACAGCCTGATATTGACCTGTTTTACAGCCTGTCACCCTCTCCATTTCTTCTTATCAGTTAACCATTTGTCATGGGCATCATAGCAAGGGTCCTTGTCACATCTCTTCACCTGCATAATTACTGTAAAACCAAAACAGAATTTCCATACATCTCATTGTTGCCTCTGGTGAATTTTTGTTTGATTTTGCTGTTTTGTTTTGTTTTTAACTTTAGCCACCTGCCCAGTGCACCTGAGCTCTTGTCTAGGACAGACAGGTCTGGACAGCACATGCACTTGATTTATGTTCAGGGGTTTTGTGCATATGCTGTCCTTTTAAAAATGGCTGTAGAGATGTACATTATGTTATGCGTGTTCAGGCTGCTGCTAAGGATTGGTGTTTTGTTTTTTTTTAAAGTTTTTATAAAAGAAGTACATGCTCATTTTTAAAAATATATATATTTTATTGATTTTTTTACAGAGAGGAAGGAAAAGAGATAGTTAGAAACACCGATGAGAGAGTCATAATCGATCAGCTGCCTCTTGCACCCCCCCCACTGGGGATGTGCCCCCAACCAAGGTACATGCCCTTATCCGGAATCGAACGTGGGACCCTTGAGTCCACAGGCCGATGCTCTATCCACTGAGCCAAACCGGTTTTGGCAGTATATGCTCATTTTATAAAGCTGACACAAAATAGAAAAGTATACTCATAATATTACAATTCAGAGATAACCATTTAAAAAATAATTTCTTCTATATTTATTAGCTGGCAATCTATACTAATAAAAGAGTAATATGCTAATTAGATCAGGAGACCTTCTGGACAAAGCCAAGGGCTTTGTCAGCCTGCAAACCACCCCCAAACGACTCTCAGCCTCTTGCCCAGGCTGGCCATACACTCCAGTAGGGCCTTCCACCCTGATGGGGGCATGGCTGGCCTGCAAATGGCCATCAGCCCCTTGCCCAGGTCGGTCCCGCCCCCCAAAGAGAACCCCACCCTGATCCAGGATCCCCTTCAGGGTAGACAAGCCAGCCTCCGCCTATGCACCGGGCTTCTATCTATACTAATGAAAGGGTAATATTGCTAATTAGACCAGGAGACCTTCTGGATGGCCTTCCAGACAAAGCCATGGTGGCGGGGCCAGGGCAGAGATGGTTAGAGGCAATCAGGCCAGGAGGGGAGGGCAGTTGGGGGTGAGCAGGCCAGCAGTCAGAATGGTTAGGGGTGATCAGGCAGGCAGGCAGGTGATTAGTTAGGATTCAGCAGTCCCAGATTGCGAGAGGGATCCCAGATTGGAGAGGGTGTAGGCGGGGCTGAGGGACACCCCCCAAACCCCTGCATGAATTTCGTGCAATGGGCTACTAGTCTATATAATAAAAGCCTAAGCAACCATTACAGCAGAACGACTCGTGACTATAATGAGCACTGACCACCAGGGGGCAGATACTCAATGCAGGCGGAGTGCTGCTCAGCTAGAAACTGGTTAGTGCAGCAGTGGCAGTGGGGACTAGTGAGCAGTGAGCCGAGCAATAAGGAGCAAGCAGGCGGGCAATAAGGAGTGAAGGATCCAGATTGCAAGAAGGATGTCCACCTGCTGGCTTAGGCCCCGATCCCCCTAGGCCGGCAGATGGACATCCTCCAAGGATCCCAGAGTATGAGAGGGCACAGGCCAGGCTGAGGGGACTCGCTCCCCTCATCCCCAATACACGAATTTCATGCATTGGGCCTCTAATTTATTATAATATAGTATTTTTGTAAGATTACTTATTTTTTTTTACCATTCATTTATATCAGTATGGGTCAGCTTTCCTGTTTTATTTAGTGAATTATAATGTAAGTGTCATTGTTTACTTTGATTTTAAATTGTCCCATATTAATGGAAGCCCCTTCAAGCTATCTTGTGTCCTTTGGAGATGTTCCTAGTAATTTGAGCACTTTCTTACCATTTGGCACAACAAAGTTATGCTAGGCTCATCTTATACTTTCCCTGTCCTAGCTCTGGAATCAGTCTTTCTCCAAGGAGCCCTGATTCTTTTCCATTGATTGTGGTATTTAGAAACCAAAATCTGGGTGCTAGGGGTGCTCACTGTCGGTGGGCTCTTTGAACATTCAGAACTAGGAAGTATGTGTATACATACACAGGAGATAGCCACTTTTATCACTTCAGAATATTTTCTTTTAGTCTTTTGAATTAATTTTTTATATGTCCTTGTTTTTCTTTTTTACATAATTAAAATTATATTCCACTATTATGGATTTTTTTTCTTTAATTACTGTGAGCATTATACTATTAAAATCATTCAAAAATTTGTAATGACTGTGTATACTTTCAAATATTATTTATTTAACTATTCAGTAATTTTTGGGCATGTAAATTGTTTTTAATTATAATTGTTGTAAATAATGCTGTGGTAGACATTTTTAAACATAAATATTTACCAACTGAACTGATTGGTTATAATGTGGCATATGTGGGTTTTGCCAGCTTTATACTTAAAGCTACATTTAACCCTTTTGTCTGTATATATTTAGTTTGCTACTAAATCCTACCAGGTTCCCTTCCTCCCCCTTGTCTGTGAAGTAATAGAACTGTAAGTTTAGGTGAGCACAGTGATTATTAATTTTTTGTTTGCTTTGTTCAATGCTTTGAGTATTAAACAGCTTGTGAATAGTTCTGAATATGTTTATATTCAGAACTTTGTGACCTCTTATTTTCTTTTGTGCTTTGTAAATGAATGCCTATGTATGGCTGTTTTTGTTTTTTCCTCATTAATTTCTAGATCAGTCTTTTTTTTTTTTTAAACAGAGTTAAATGAATATAGTTTGCACCCCTCTCCGTGTTACCAATTTCCCTTTGGGGGCTTTTCTTTCTATTATATATAAACTATGGATACTGCTTTAAATGCCTTTATATGCCTTCAGGTCTCCTTTCTTAGTTAGTCTCATATAATCCCTGGCCAGTAGATCTTTACTCCATTAAGAGGTGGGCAGTTGGCTTCTCTTGCAGGTCTGATGGGCATTCTCAGTGTTGGGAGAAAAAAGAAATTCCACTTTGCCCATGTACTACATATTTGCATGTGAAGAAAGATATTACTGTGAGCCTAAGAATGATCACTGGCTTTGCTAAACTCTTGGGTACCCTTGGCATGGGACAGCTCAACTCCCAGAGCAGCTACTGTTTGTCCTTCAGACTCATTTTACTAAAAGGCCAAAATATCACGGGATATTGTAGAGGCAGATATTAGTGGGCTAAGGAGGAGAAGAGGCTTGCTGTCTCCTTGGTAGAGAATTCCCCTAAGCACATTGTTACCACCAAGAACAGGCCAGAATGTCACTTGCAGGATGTACACGAGTGTTGTTGAGGGACGCGAAGCTTACCAAGGACATTTCAGAAGCAGCTTACTTTACATGACGTGAACCCCCTAGGTCTATCAGACCAGAGGGACTCTGAAGTAAAATTCAGATGATCTCTTATTATAGTTCTAACAAAATGAAGAATTTGGAGGTTGTGGAAAAAATCACCTGTTTTTTGAAAGCCTCTCTGAGGCAGACTTGTAATTCTTCCTCATTTGTCGTGTTGATAGAAATCAGATAGTAAAATGTTAGTGGCAAGCAGGAGAAGCACATTCTGAGTAAGACCTCAGAGATAGGTCAAAAGTGGCCACGGCCTCAGGGAAAGGGAGCCGTGCGAACTGCTTGCTCTGCTGGCATGGTGAGCTTTGGTCTAAGTGGGAACAGTCAGCTTGATGTTCGCCAAGGAAAATACGTGTTTGCCCTGCATAGCTGCTACTTCAACAGCGTCCTGATTCTGGTACGGACCCCTTAGAGGTGTAAGTTATTGTATTTCCTAAGAAGCTTTTTTTTCTTATTACAAAGACGATAACAATATTAACATTTTATAGGTACTTCATTCCTTAAAGAAATTCTCAATAGAAGTAGCAAGAATTTCCATGCCTCTTATATTCTCCCCCCAAATAAAAAACACGTTTCCCATTCCTTTTATAAAGCTACTGGCATTTAAAAAAGGAACCCAGAGAGGATGCTTTAATGATAACTACTAAGCACCAAATACGATATCATTCTGCATCTGGACTTTTCTAGAAAAGAAATGCACAAATGTGATCCAGCCTTGTAAAGTGCTTTGTCAATATCACTGCCACACTGTTCTTGAGGGTTTGTTCAGGCGATTTATCTTTGGTTTGCCACTTTCGTGTGTGAGTCTGTACCCTAAATGCTGGGGATATTCTACCACTCTGAATATGTTCTTTTCCCCCTTGGTAACCCAGAGGTTACACAGACTTATTTGTGATTCTCCTGTTGCTAACTTTATCCCTTTCTGTAATAGAAATAGGCACTGAATCATGGGGCAGTTTGCCCAACATTTGAAAACACAACAGCTAATAATCCCAGAAATATTCTCCACAGAGTCCTTTTCATTGTTTAAAAACTTGCAAGCAAGAAAGTTAAGATACAGATGTTTTCTCTGAAGCTTTTTATCTCCTAGAAAGACGCAGGTTGTTCTGACAGGTGAAACAAGTCCAGGCGAATATGCAACATTGATCTAATCGGTGTGAACGAGAGCAGTATTTTCTCCGGTGCTGGCTTCCACGGCATCATTAAAGGCTCCCATCACTCTTTTATTAGAGGTTCCCTCTCTTCCTTATCAGATTACTGAATGAACATAACTCATGGCAGTGATTTGATCTTTATGCTCATAAAGAGGATTACAGCTTTGCATTAACTCGGATTGACACAGTTTATAATTCCCGTGTTGATGCTCTGGAGAGCGGCAGCACATGTTTGAGCCCCCAGCAGTGCTGAGAGAAAGGGACCCCATACATCATCATTAAAGAGGGCGTCCAGCACAGAAATAGGAGGCACAGACCTTTCTCCCCATGACCTCAGAAAGGACAAAGAAAATATTCTCAAGTTCAAACTCGTAGCTTGGGCCAGAGTTCTAAACCTGGGTTGAAAAGAAA